CGTGTACGTGCCCCAGGGCATCCTGGGAAACTGGGGATTTCAATTACATCTTGTCCCTGGAAATGCTTGGTGTTTGGCCCCGAGAAATCGTTCTGCTTCCCAGAGTGGTGTCAACACGTCCCAAGGGGCTGGCAGCCCCAGCCACGCAGCCCAGCCCAGCCCCTCGGAGCTCTCCCGGGGCAGGCACATTTATCCACCTCTAGCTCATCTATGGGCGCCCGGCTGCCAGTGCCGAGCCCCATCTCCCCCACAGGCGAGCGGGTGCCACGGGCTGGGGAGTGATCAGCGGGGCCCTGGGACCCAGAGCAGAGACAGGGAGCCCACATGCCGGCGGTGGGCACGGATGCAGAGCTGGCCAGTCAGTCATCCCAGCTGAGGTCGCCTGTTGCCCTGGCCCTGGGCTAATGCGGTCGCCTGAGCACTCACGGCCCCTCATCTCCCTGGATACCCGGGCTCTGGCTTTCCCCACAGGTGGGCAGGCTTTGAGCACGTGGGCTTCCAGGGGCAGCAGTTCGTTCTGGAGCAAGGCGAGTACCCTCGCTGGGAGGCCTGGAGTGGCAGCCACGCCTACCACGTGGAGAGGATGAGCTCCTTCCGCCCCATCGCCTGTGCTGTGAGTAGGGCTGGGGAGCTGCCCCCCCGGGCCTCCCCATCCGCCCGCGCACCCCCATTCCTCCCACCCGGCTTCGCTGGCCCCGCAGAGCAGTGGGTTGACCAGACAAGCCCTGCCCAGCTCCAAGGGGAGGCAGCGTGGCCGGTGCTCCCCCTGGGGGCGCAAGTCACCGCTCTCATGGCCTTGGCCTTGGCACACAGGTCCCCGCTGCACCCGGCCCCTGGGGGTGAGGCTGGCACAGCCCCAGGTTCAGGCTGTAGGGACGTGCGCGTTAGCATGGACGGGGCTGGTTCCATCTCCCATGTCTGTGAGGGGCGCTGCCCAGGACTGACCCAGTGCCCCTAGACTCACCCGCGAAGGGACACGAAGGTTGGGCTCAGGCCCGGCCCTTCTTTGGGATGCCCGGCGGGAGTTGGGCAGCGTGTGCTGACGCCCATCTCACTCCAGGGACCAGGTCCCGGTCTGGAGAGAGGAGGTGTTGTGAGAGTCACCGCCCCTCAGTGCCGGGTGAGAGTCACCCCGTGTGCACCCTGGGCCCGAGACCCCTGCAGCGAAGCCACGGAGAGCCACCCCCGAGCTCCCCGAGGCCTCTCACTGTCAGAAAGGGCCCCAGGCCCCAGTTAACCGGGGTGCTTTGTGGGTGCCCTTTGAGTTGCTCTGAGCCCCATCTCCCAGCGGCAGGGGCCCGTTTCTGCTGTCTCGTCCGCTGGGTGAAGCAGGAGCAGCCCTGGGGCAGAGCGGCCCTGTGGAGCAGGCAGGCCCTGCAGGGGCATCAGGAGGTGTCCCCAGCCCACCTGCATTCTCTCTGTCCCCTCGCGGCAGAATCACCGGGACAGCAAGATGACGATCTTCGAGTGGGAGAACTTCCTGGGGCGGAAAGGGGAGCTGAGCGACGACTACCCTTCGCTGCCAGCCATGGGCTGGGGGAGCAGCGCGGTGAGCTCCTTCCGCGCTCACTCTGGCGCGTGAGTACCTCCGGGGGGAGGAGGGGGCCATATGGCTGAGCCCCAAACCCACTGAAGCTGCCAGGCCCCTGCAGGGTCCCGGGGTGATGCTGTGGCTGCGGAGAACCAGGAGTTCAGACCCCCCCACGTACTGTAGTCTGTGGGGCCCCCGACCGCTCTGTCCGCACGACCCCAACCCTGCTGCCCTGGGGTTGGGGCTGGCTGCAAGGCGATGGCTTCTCCTGTTTTCTTCCGCAGCTGGGTCTGCTCCCAGTTCCCTGGGTACCGAGGCTTCCAGTACATCCTGGAGTGCGACCGTCACGCGGGCGAATACAAGCACTTCCGGGAGTGGGGCTCCCACGCGCAGACCTCCCAGGTTCAGTCTATCCGGAGGATCCAGCAGTGAGTGCTGCCAACCGCCAGGCCGCAGCTGCCCCCTTCTGCCCCTCAGCGTCTTACCCTACCCGCCTTCCACTGGGGCCCCCGGCTCCGGGCCCACTCGGCTGAGCTCAAAGCCAAGCTCAATAAAGGTACACTTGTCTAACCAGCCAGGGCCGGTAAGTCCAGCGTATTGCAGCCGGCTGCAGCCAGGGCATGGGCCCCGGGAGACCCTCCCAGCGTCAGGTCATGCAGTGGGGCAGCCCGACTGGTTCTTTGTCCCTTGCTCCAGCTACTGGACCTGTCGGCCAGGGAGCAGCGTGTCCCCCGGGGACTCGTTAACACAGGCAGACCAGAGCCGCAGGCACACAGGCCTGGAGGGCTGGCAGCTGGTGGGCAAGGATGCAGAGCTGGCCAGCTAGTCACCACAGCCTATTGCCCTGGCCCAAGGCGCCCCAAGGCAGAACGCAGTCCCCCCGAGAGCAAGGGCAGGCCTAGCTCCGGACCTTCCCCAGTCCTAGGCAGCCCCGCAGCACTGCCAGCTTACCGCTCAGGGGCACTGAAGGGCAGCCTGCCCCTCTCTGGCCTGGGCCGGGGATGGGGACTAAGGGGTAGTCCAGAAATACAGCAAACTGCAGCCCCCCACGGCGAGCCAAATGGGAGCCTGCCGTCTGGACACCTGGATCCCGAAGCAATTCTCCTGGTAAACACAACAGAGACTGAGGACATAGGCAGCATCCAGCCCTATGAGAAACCACCAAGACGTCTGCCTGAGGTGCACAACAGACCATGACAAGGCAGCGTCAGCCCCACCCCGCCCTGGTGGTCCTGCAAGGAGAGAACCTGGATGTGGGAAGCCAGCCGGAACGTTAACTGAAACCACACGAGTGGAGCCAAGTGCCCATTGCTAGTGTGGGCTCTGGGATTGAGCCCCCTTCCAGGAGAGAGGGTCCCCGGGACAGGGGAAGAGGCCGCAGCAGAAGCAGAGAAGACTTTGCAATAGCTAGGGTGTCTTTACTGCTAGTCATCCTGCGAGGATGCTGGGCCCAGGAGGAGTTCCCTGCCCGGAGCAGTGCGTCTGGGAGGCCCCTTCGGAAGGGCAGCCCCTGTACGGTGTCTCCAGTCGGGATCCCAGAGCTGGAGGCACCGAGCCCCACAGGCCTTTGGGAACAGGCTAGTCTAGATTTCCAACCAGGCAGAACGGCCAGCCCATGCCATGGCTTCGCTCACCCTCCTGTGCTGGGCAGCGCCTGGCGAGGGAACACGCTGGCTGCCCACCGGGAGGTCAGGCTGAGAGACTCCCTTTCGGAGACTGGCAGAATGTGTCCGGGCAGCGCTTCACTGGGCGCTCCCCCATAGCGGGTGCAGGGCCGAACATGGAGTCTGTTCAGCATTGCCGGCTTGGCCTCCTGGAGGGGAAATGCAGGGGCAGTCTGGAATCAGAGATGGGCCCATA